AGGGAATGTCTGATATGTGCACACTGATGCTAACAGCTCCAGGATCTTCTCTCCTGTCTGCTGCTCTCTCTCTGCTGCTGCACAGAACAGACTCATGAAGATCCTGAATGCTTCATCAGGATCTGACCTCAGAGGAACAACACTGGAACTATAAGAAGGAAACATTTAGTGATGATTTGATGAGCTGCATAAAAACAGCCACACACTGCTGATGGACTCCATGTTGTATATAATGAAAGTTCATCTTAAAGCCATCTTCCATCAGAGCAGCTGAACAATGTTTTAGACAGTTACTGACTCACAACACAAACACTCATCCTGTGTGTGAAATCACTGCGTTCTGAACTGTAACTGTTATTTTATTCTCTGTCTGACTTTAGAGAGTAAAACACTAAATATCAACAACACAGAAACACACAGAGGGGAACAACAACATCTACAACAGCAGCTTCACCTGCTGCTCACATCACACACCTCTGCTGTCTGAAATCTTCATCTGCTCACTATAGAGCTGCTACCACCATCATCATCATCATGCTCAGTAAAACAAAGTCAGAGATAAAGTCCAGCTTCATGTAACTCAATCATTTACTGAGTTACGTCACTGAAGGACTCGTTGAGTTTGCTTTCATGTTGTTTCCATGGCGATGATGCATTCAGGTGTAAAGGATGTTTCTGGCATGTGTGCTCTCCAACACGCTCTGCTGCATGAGCTCAGTCACATGATCCTATCAAATATAAACCTAACCTTTCTGATGAGAACGTCTTTATTCTAGATCCTGTTGTCCTGATAAGCAGTAAAAGTCATCTGATATTTATAGAAAATATGAAACTTCATAGCAACAAACAGCTGAACAAGTCAGTGAAACACACTGATGTACTGAGAACGTTTCCCTCTGAAATATGACAGAGTCTGAATACATTTATAACATGATCCATGTAGATAAAGTCAAACATATGATGCTGATGACAAACAAGCAGCACAAGACAAAATCATCACTTTACAATTCATGGAGCTTCAAATATTTCCATCACTTATGTTCACAGAAAATCTTCTCTTACAGATATTTGACTCATGTGAAGAGCATGTTATTTACCTGAGCTGTGAGATATAAGGCAGACACTGCAGCAAACTCCTCACTTCACTCTCTTCATGTGAGCAGCCTGTCAGCTCCACTTGTTTC